GCCTAGTTGCTAGATTTTTAATACTTGATTTAATGCTAAAATATCACAATGATAAATTTGGCCAATAATTATTTATACTGGGACTCATGAATGCAATTACAAGTAATCCATAATAATATTTTAAATTTTGGAATCATATTTATTTTTGGCATATGAATTTTTTGCAACTGTTTCTAAACCTTTGTCTTCCTATCATTCCGTTTCACCTGCTACCCTCTTCTACCGCACCTATGCTACGCACCGCTCAATTTGGGAGCCACTGCACTAGGCCGTCGTTTTTCTTACCATTGCTTTTCTTATGACTGCTTCGAAAAATTTTTCGATTAGTAATGCAGTAAATATAATCAATTCATTAAAAAAAATATATTATTTCCTTTAATTTTTGATGGTCCGGGTAAACTAGTGATTATATAATATACTGTAATTTCTCGAAAATAATACGCACCCATAACTAATACGCATCCCAACAAATGATCCAAAAATTAAGAAATATATCTATCCCTATGTATAATACGCATCTATAAATTTTGTGAAAAAAAATAAATACGAAGACATTTCGTCGACATGTTGAAAATTACCATGAGGTTTAAAGATATAAAATGAATAAATTACGAGTAATCAGTTATAATATTTTAATTTTGGAAATCATATTTATTTTTGAGTTTTTTGAAATTGTTATTAAATATTTGACTGTTTTACAATCATTCCGCCTCACCTGCTATCCTCTTCCGTCTCACCTGCTATACACTTCCGCCTCTCCTGCTATTCTCTTCCGACTCACCCGCTATCCTCTTCCGACTCACCCGCTATCCTCTTCCACCTCACCCGCTATCCTCTTTCGCCTCACCTGCTATCCTCTTCCGACTCACCTGCTATCCTCTTCCGATTCCCCTGCTATCCTCTTCCGCCTCACCCGCTATCCTCTTCCGCCTCACCTGCTATACACTTCCGCCTCATCTGCTATCCTCTTCCGCCTCATCTGCTATCCTCTTCCGCCTCACCTGCTATACACTTCCGCCTCACCTGCTATCCTCTTCCGCCTCTCCTGCTATCCTCATCCCCCTCAACCGCTATCCTCTTCCGCCTCACCTGCTATCCTCTTCCGCCTCTCCTTCTACCTCATCCGCCTAACCCGCTATCCTCTTCCGCCTCACCTGCTATCATCTTCCGCCTCACCTGCTATACACTTCCGCCTCACCCGCTATCCTCTTCCGCCTCACCTGCTATAAACTTCCGCCTCATCTGCTATACACTTTCGCCTCTCCTTCTATCCTCATCCGCCTCACCTGCTATCCTCTTCCGCCCTGCTATACACTTCCGTCTCATCCGCTATCCTCTTCCGCCTCACCTGCTATACACTTCCGCCTCATCCGCTATCCTCTTCCGCCTCATCCGCTATCCTCTTCCGCCTCACCTGCTATACACTTCCACCTCTCCTTCTATGCCCTTCCACCTCTCCTTCTATGCTCTTCCGTCTCTCCTGCTATCCTTTTCCGCCTCACCATTTTGGAACAACTGCTTCTCTTACAACTACAATCTTAACCTCTTTAAGTGATGCGTGAACTGTTATCTGTCATACGTATCCTCATAATCTGCACTCACTTCCACCACCACCTAGGGCCATAAGCACTCATTCAGTAATTATCTATTTTGAGTCGCTTTTGTACCTTATATTGGCTAAGCATTAAGTAACATCGGGTAAACATTTAGTAAAAAAACAATTAGACTTCAGATGTAATGAGTAGAAAATATCTACATATTGTCGTAGTGTAATTTGTCTTGCTCGTTCAATTAATTCAAATTAGCCGCAATGAATTTGATATCCGGGTTTTAGTTAATATTACTTACCATTTCACTTTACAATTTCAAAAGACCATCATCCATTAAAACAGAAATGAACTTCAATATTTCCGAACTAATAACCATTGTGGGTCACTTGTCTTAACCAATATGGTGTTTGACAAGTTTATTTCAAATATAGTTCGTAATGAAAATATAATCCATATATTGCAGCACAAATCAGTTTAAAAGAAACCCTTATTATTTTTTTTAATATATATATCGAAATTATATTTATAAAAAAATATAATTTTTGAAAATTAAAATTATACTAAATTATGCTGGAAAGTTTTTAGGTTTCAAAAAGATACGAACTTTGAGCAAAATTGTCTGACCCTATGAAAAAAAAAGAAAGATTCATTTTAAACTGACATCTTTTGTTTCATAGATCTAAACGATAATTACAAAAATTTAATTCTGAAAAATGAAAATTTCACTGAACTAAGTTTAATAATTTCCAGGTTTTAATTTGAAATAAAGAAAATATCATCTTTGAGAAAAATAACAATATATGGAAAAATAAGGTGTCAGTTCAAACCATATGTTCCCACTTGGAAGATAAATAGTTTATTCAAGAGATTGTTCTATGGGAGAATTATGATTGTCTATCTTATTTTTTTCTAATAATAATCCACATATCGTATATCATATGTACAAATATTTATATTTATATAAATATTTTCCATTGCACTTCTGGTATCCGTTCGACCTTTCAACGCCCCCATATATGTCGAAATTGTCGTGTATTAGAAACTGCCTTCCCGTGAAGGGAGATTTGCAACCGTAGATTCTGTTTCAGAGAATTTCAGATACGTCAATCTAAAGATATCTCTGCTTCGCCTCTGATTAGAAGCTTACTGATTTATCTCGAATTTAAAAAGAATGTTATTTAACGTAATTACATACGCATCCCTAATCAATTTCCTCACTCTTCAGCCATGCTCGCAGTTAATTATTTGTACTTTATTCCAGATTATCAGGAGCAAAAGTCGTCTGTCATCTCAGACTTCCCATTTGATATGAAGCCGTAGTTTCTTTTATATTCTAATTTGAAAGGCAAAATATATATATATATATATATATATATATATATATATATATAAAAACATGATCTCAGTTGTTTGAGAAATACTTAGAATGACAACGACACATCCCAAGATTAATGAAAATACCTTCAACAAAAGGTGGAAGATTGTTCTAACAAAAATTACAATGATAACGTCTCACATCAAAATAACAAAAGCAATCAGAAACACAATCGATGAGATCAATAATCTAAACATGACAACGAATCACCTTAGAATTAGGAATAGCTACATTAATTACATTATTAAAACGCTTAAATTACTATCAAACGTTAACGCAAAAAACATATAAATCTGAGTTTTTGCAAATTAGCCGCAATATGCCCACATACATTAATTCCCTTAATTTCCTTTTCCACGTCTCTATTCCCATTTCTTTCCTTAAAACCTTTCTTATTTCTTACATCTTTACTTCTCTTTTTTTTTATCTATATATCGTTTCCTGTGAGATGACTGGTCAAGGTGTGGTCCTTACCCACACTTCCTCACTATTAAGTAGTGTAATAAAAATAAATTTAAAACCATTGTATCTCTTCCTTCCCTCTCTAATTTCGACCTTGTCTGTCACACTCTCTCCCCACTCTCTATATTACCTTACATCAACTTAAAACTAACCATCAAAAGTGTAAAAAACTATATTTAAATTCATTTTTTTTACTCTTAGAAGTGTGGTCTGATGAGCCAGGAAAAAGAAATTCCCTGAGGAAATAAATTATAACCAATGAACACTTAAAGTTGCTGTTTTTCACTGAATGTATATATATATATATATATATATATATATATATATATATATATATATATATATATATATAATTATTTAATTAAATATATGATACCAACTCGCGACATACGAGATCTCATGTTTCAAAACAAGAGGTCTCGTGTTTCAAAAACATGAGACCTCTTATGTCGTGAGTTGGAATCATATTTTTAAATAAATAATTATATTTATGCTCTACTTTTGTATCGAGCACTATTTTTAAAAAAAATAATAACTAAAATACTAAGGAACTTTGGATTATTTACTTAACCAGTTCTTTCCTATTTATTTTCACACACACACACACACACAAACACACACACACACACACACACATATATATATGCATGTGTGTGTATATATATATATATATATATATTCTGGAGCATCCATATATCAAACAAATTTTAACATTTGTCTATGCCTATGAGATGAGGTATTATGATTATTTACATTATTTACATTATTCGGACTGTTATCCTCATCTTCATTGCCATATACACAAGGACACAAGGCAGCGGAGATTTGAAATAAAGTTTTTCCTTTCCCTAGCTGAACTGCCAGTGGATAAAAAACGTTGGTTAGATCCCGTGACTAGCTTCTAGTGACAATAATGGCTGTCTATATCTCTAAGATAAGGTATTAGGATTACTTGCATTATTTACATTATTCGAACTGTAATCCCCAGCTTTATTGCTTTTTGTTAGATTTTTTGCTTAGATCCAGTGACTAAACCCAAGGAGTTGAGAGTTCAATACCAGGCTACTGCAGTGGTGAACCAAAATTTGGAGGGTTGAGTTAAAGGAAAATAACTGAGACATCTGAAAGAGGCATGGCACGTGGAACTAGAACGATCTACACCGGTGCACAAAATAAAGGGTTCGGTTCGAAATTACAGTCACCTGAAGAAGTGTACAATGACCGAGTCGTTGTGAATATGGCAATGAAGATGAGGATAACAGTCTCAATAATATAAATAATTAAAGCAAAATTTAGTTCTTCCTTACAATATATTGGTGAAACTTCCGGAAATTGAAAAGGAAACGTATTTATAACGATGGGAAAGATTCCCCACATTACAATTTTTTACCTTAGTAAGTTATTTTTTTCTCTTCATAAGGACAGTGTTTGACATAAATCCAATGCATTATTTATATGTCAAATACTGTCTTTATGAAGAAAAAGAATAACTTACTAAGGTAACAAAATCTGGAAATTGCAATAATTGAAACTTGCCCTAACATAAACATACACTTTATAATCTTTCTTTCAAATATCCACTTTCTTTTAAAGAAAAAGTTACAGGCACATCACGTTGAAACACCGGATCCTGTAGGACCACTAAGTTAAGCAACGTCGAGCCTGATCAGTACCTTGATGGGTGACCGTTTGGGAATACCAGGTACTGTAAGGTTAGATGTGCGAATAGGGTAATAGATACTAGCTTGGAATTGGTAATCGGAGGGCAGAGTTCTCATACAACCTCTGAAGTTAAACAACGTCGAACCTGATCTCTTCCTAAATGGGTAACTGCAGAGGAATACTATGTGCTATAGGCTTGGGTGTAAACATACAGTAAAGTAGTTTTTCACAGTGGAGGCTTGTATTTCATTAAGTCGTCCTAAATTAGGTTCGACGTTCAAAACGTTAGGAACTTGCAATAATAGTTAATGACGCAGCAATCTAGTTGTGGGACTCATACTTTAATGTCTGACATCGACTGACTCACTCAACTCCACTGAGCCCAACTGGCCACTGCTACTACTATTACTACTACTTATTATGTGTGGGAGAGTCTATTACAATAGAATAGGTAATGTTCTAGTATAACAGTTTAATAGATGTCTCGAAATTGTTAATCGGAGATCCGACTGACTGAACCACTGAAACGGATAATTTCTGCATTACTTTTTCGATTGGGTCCTTTTTTTAGCTGTTGCTACCAAGTAAATGGTTAAGTAATTAAAAAAAAAACAGGTTTTGAAATATATTCTATATTAAAGAATAAGTACACGACTAGTAAGTGTGTATCGAATGAACTAGCGCTCAATCTATTCACTGCTATATTTAACAAACGTGGGTCATATGTGGCACAAGGCCGAGTTTAGCGTAGGTTCTCCGAGCCCGTAGGCTCGGCCAAAAATATTCCCTTCGAGCCCGCATGCACGGGTTCAGGGCCTGTCTACCTCTCCGGACGAAACTTTACCCTTCGGCAAAGTTTCGTCCGGGTTCCTACCCGCCGAGGCGGAGAGTTTGACAGCAATGAACGGTTTGGCACCGTTATTTTTTTTCTAAGCGTAGCTTAGATGTGGCATAAAGACGAAAGTATAAGGCACCCAGTTTTTAATCGAACTCACTACGCAGTCGTAACTGTTTTAGCGAGACAAGCTTGCTAACCATTACACCACACCGAGGTGTCCCAATCTATTCACTGTTCCCCGAAACCTTCTCTCCAATTATAGTAGGCGGAAGAGTCTAACATAGTCTCCTAAGAGGGAGGACACCACAAAATTAGCTTTCACAGTTAAATTTCTATTTCTGACATGAACTCAGTCTATACCGGGGTTGATAAGACAGACGACCGAAATCTTCGTCTGCCATTTTCTATTGGCATTATTCAGAGGCTATTCTCCATATGAGGGGATTTGGGATTTTATTGTTCGTTAATATATATATATATATATATATATATATATATATATATATATATATTGGTGGTATGTATGTGTGTGCGTGTGTGTGTGTGTAGTTAAAAATTTTGTGTATTTCTAAAGAAGAGTGGTAAATATCAGGGAAACGGCGTATGTTTGTAGTGGTGACATATATATATATATATATATATATATATATATATATATATATATATATATATATATATGTGTGTGTGTGTGTGTGTGTGTCCACTACAACCATGTGTGTGTGTGTGTGTGTGTGTGTGTGTGTGTGTGTTCGTATTACTTTATTCGTCTTTGTCACAACATTTGGTTTGTTTTGTCCTCCGGCTTGTTTCCGCCTCTCCATGTCGCATTTCCAAGGAGAGACCTTTATTTTGATCCACGGGTGGGACGTTGTTCTAATTCCTCTTCCTGTCACATCCACTGATCTTCTGAAAGATTTTCGCTCCTTACAACCGCCAACTATGCCATATGATGCCAATCTGTCTTCTCACTGGGTCGAAGAATGTTTCGACACTTCCTGACCCAGGGATTGAACTCAGGAAACCAGATAAGCTTTACTGGCACTTTTATGCACAGAAACGCGGCATGGAATGAAAAATTGTGAGTGTGCGCGGAGCAGATTAACTACGGCCCCAACGACCCTCGTCCTCAACGGAAGCTGCTAGAGGCACCAGTATTCTCTTCAAAGTCATACTTAAGTCTTCATGTTGATCTTCTCAGGCGCCAGTTTTACTGAACTTAGATAATTTCTTATAGACTACACTTCCTGATGGTCTCTGACGTTTTCCAGTTTACCAAAGTGATCCTTACGCTCGTCTTTGTCCTTTTTTCTCTCCCACTCCCCCCTCTCTCTCTTTCTCTCTCTCTCTCTCTCTCTCTCTATATATATATATATATATATATATATATATATAATATTATATAAAAAGATTACTTAACTTTAAATATCAATTTTTTGATGGTTTTTCCGCTGCACAGTGTCGCGGAAAAACCATATTTTAAATCAATTAATTTATTAATGCTCTGTAAATTTACATTGAGCACTTCTTTGTAAAAATAAAAATATCTATAGGAACACCGGATTATATATCTTACTGTTCTTTCTTTTTATACACAGAGAGAGAGAGAGAGAGAGAGAGAGAGGGGGAGAGAGAGGGAGAGAGAGAGGGAGAGAGAGAGATTACAAAGAGGAGCGTAAGGATCTCCTTCTCTTTGTAATTCTTTGTCTGACTTTCTCTCTCTCCACACGCACATACAAACACACATATATACACATATATGTATATGTTTGTGTGTGCTATGCGTTCACGTGTGCGTGCGTGTGTGTGTGCATGCGTATGTATATAAGTTCAAAGAATCACTAAAAAGGTGAAACTTGCGTGAGTTTTAAAAAACAATTTTACTTTTGCCTGGAGTGATTATCTCTTCCTGAATGTTTTTCTACTATATTCATTAATAATAATAATAATAATAATAATAAAGAAATTAATTCATCACTGCATAAAGTTTGCTTTAAATTTGAGCTCCATTTGCTTAATCTGTTTTTTTGCTTGCTCATGGTAACATTTGGGTTGCCGTATTTATATTTTTAGGTACCCCCTAAAGCAATGCACTGTCAAAATTGTTTCAGCATCCTAGCCTAGTAGAAGTTAAGTAAACAAAAGTTTGTATCGAAATTATTCAATTTATGATGTCAGTTTTTTTATATGTTAATAAACACAAAATAGGATGATAAAACTCAAATCTTAGAAAAATAAACACAACAAATTTGACAGGAAAATTATGCAAAACAGGAAAAGACAAAATTATTCCTACATTATGAAAATAGAAAAAATGAATGAAATTCACAATAATAGTAAATAGCATCTCCTCTCGTCTTTATGACTTGCTGCAATCTTTGTAGGCTTCATCAAATACCAATAATAAATAAATTTTATGAAGCCTAGAATGGCGAAACGCGTAATCATATCTAGTTTCAATTAAAAGCTTTTCCTTTGTCAAATTTCTTAAAATAATGTCATGACTATATAACTTTGTATTTTAAACACACACACACACACACACACACACACACACACACACACACACACATATATATATATATATATATATATATATATATATATATATATATATATATATATATGGCGCTATCAATTATCAAAGTCTTTAAAATATTTTACTATGTCGTCGATGTCTTCATTTTCAAGTATCACTCGTACAAACGAATAATTGCTGACTGCAAGAATGCGCGCAAACACACACATAAACACACACACGAACGCATATATATATATATATATATATATATATATATATATATATATCAACTAAAAATGTTTGGTTGTATGTTCAGATTAGATATTCCGTTTATTCCGTTGTTGTGACAATGGGAATGTTTATTCTGTTCATTGTCTAACTTGTAAACCAATACATCTTTCTGAACTTGTTGCAATCAAATTATATATATGTCTGTTCACAATGCTAATGGACAGAAGGACACTTAGCGTTTTTTTTTGTTTTTTTTAATTTACTTATTTGTTTCTGTTCTTTTTCTTCATCCGCCACAGTCATCATCTGCTCTGAAACGAGCAAAGAAAATTGAAATATGGCGTTAGGAAATGTTTTCCTTTCTTTCTCTTTATTTAATAACGAATACATCCGGGTACACAATAGGCCATCCAGCTGAAATAGGTTCCTACTCGCTGTTTCTGTAACGAATTCCCAGGCCTCAATAGCTAATAAACGTAGCTGCTTCGCTATTTAGGTGCCAGCGAATATCCGAAGTCAAGTGAGATTTCTTGTCATTGGTTCGAAGCAATGATAACGGCCCAAATGACATCAGTATTCCCCATAATCAGCTGTACGCTCTAAGAATATAGAAAATATTCTAACCGGAAATTGTCTCCACTATGGCGTCAACAGACTTTGATACACTGTATCTTAAAGAACTAATACAAACTGCGTCAGCATCTCTTATTCGCAGATTTTACTTTTTTTTACCGTTTCAAGTCAGCCATTAACACAGTGCCATCTACATACCCCCCCCCCTGATCATAAACCTTGGTAGGCCTTCTAGTTCTAATAAGAACGCCCTGTGAAATAGATCCGGCGAGAAGACTAATCCTTGTCTCAAACCTCTTTCTATTATTGCGAATTTAAGGCGATTTATTCCCATAGAATATTCTGGATCATTCAACAGTTTCAGTAACCCAATTGTAACTAAACATTTTTTTTTTCATTTGTTTTAACATTTTTTCCCGAAACAATTTCGATAGACTTGTAGTATTAGCACTATTCTTGATTATTGGAGGAAGCATGTTTTCGACTACTTCATCTAACAACAAACATAAATAAAGCTTATTCTATATTTACGATCCAGGCTACCTAGTGGCAGCAGTAGAATGACGATCTCAGAATTGTGTTAGAAAGAAAGAAATCAATATGAAAGATATTTAATCGAATAAAGAATTAATAATGAAAGTAAAAAAAAAACAACGCAAATTACGACGATGGAGTTATACATTAGATACTTCGACTAGAAATACCGTAATTCCCCATGTGTAATACGCCTTCATCAATAATACGCCTTCATCCATATTACGCACACCGAAAATTGTTCTGAAAGTGTGGGAAAATGCTTCTACTCACGCATAATGCGCACCTCTTTGGTAATCAAACCCTATAAATTGTACCTCTCCAATTTCATTACGGCCAACGTTTCCTACTCTTA